TTTTTTTTTTTTTTTTTAGCTTAGTAACCCGTGTTGCTTTCTTGCTTTGAACCGAAACGTGCAAAAGTCTTAGCATCTGAAGAGAAAGCACTCACTAGTTGGGGATGTAGACCTGCTTGAGTTTGCTCTCTGCCTCGGCCGCTTTTAATCGCTTCTGGAGCAGGAACGGGCGAGGAGGAGAGAAGAGGAACGACAGAATTAGATCCATTCAGCTCCTCGGCTTCCTGCAGCCAAACATCAACGCTACCGAGCTTAAAAGTGAGGACAACACACCTGCTGGACGTATCTGTCTGTAGTCTTCCACATGTAGTAATACTCAATTATACTCGTCAGCGACTTCCAGGGCAGCTGAGAGAGAAGAGGAGGATGAAGGACATGGTCATGTGAACAGCTGATTTTTAAATAAAATCCAATTTGCCACAGAGTTGTTGTCGCTGTGGAACATTTTCCCTCCGGGAGGAAAACCTGAAGATTTATTCTCTGATTCAGCTGGAGCCGATTCCAGATCTCAAAGTTTAAAACAAAGATGTAGCAAGTTGCAGCCCCACCCATGCTGCTGTTTAAAAAAAAAAAGAAGAAAGAAAAAGGTTCAAGTGGAAACAAGAATGAGTAGCACTGAGAGACGCTAGCCACCAGGTGGCGAAGTAGCGCTCACGGTGAACCAACTGTGGATTAGAAACGTTCTTCTCAAGGCGAATCAGAAAATGAGGAGCTGCACAGCGTCTTCCTCCCGGCTTCTCAAGCTTGTTTTCAGGCGGATCTGTGTGATCACCACACATAGGATGATCACACACACACACATATATATATATATATATATATATATATAAACAAATCATCAATGTGGTACAACTGCATTTTAGGCAACAAACATGTTTTTTGTTTTTTTGTTTTTCTAATTTATAAGAGGAATTTCTTTGTTTTTTATTTGCAACTTTTGATGAATTTCTAATGCTGATTTTTTTTTATGGTGCAAGTAGTAGTTAAATGAAAAATCTGTAGAATATGCTTTTTTTTATTTGATTAATTGTCAGAAAAACTGATAGATTGTGTGCTAAAGTAATCATTAGTTGCTGCTCTAATGAATGTTGAAAACAAAGCCTGGGGGAACAAGTTTGAATTTATGCAGGTTACCTGAAGAATATTTGCAGTAAATTAGTTAAACTAACGCTTATTTTTAATAAATTATTTTTTGAAAAACGCATTATTAAAACTAAAAAAAAAAAAAGAAAAAAAAAAAAAACCATGATGATGATAAATATGAGACCGGCGCAACATGACTGCGCAATGATCAACTCCAGTCTTTTTATTAAAGGAGAATAAAAGAAGCTAGAAAAAAAAAAAAAAAACTGAGCGATTCTACTTTCTGGGTTCATCACTTACAAAATCCTGCTGGATATCTGTGAAGTCTTTGCCGTATTTCTCCAGCGCTTCCTCGAACAGGTTGGCCTCGGAGGCGCTCCACTCCTCCATCTCGTCCCTGCAGAGGACGGGCCCGCCCTGAGGCACCAGCGCCGCGATGGCCCGGGTCATGTCGTAGCCGTTGGTGTGGAGCGTGTCCATGGCGTGGAACTGGAAGGAAACCGCGGCGCAGAGTTAAAACGCTAAGCTACCGCTAACGTAACAGCTGCACAGACAAAGGTTGCACGCTCTTAAGCGAGCTAACTCCGAGCCCGCTGCCGCGTGATCTCACCAGCGTGATGTCCCTGGAGGCGGCAGCGGCGCTCATGTGGAGGCTCGGCTGCCGGACGGAACTGCTGCAGTCCAACGCTCTGGCGAATGTACCGACCGACCTGCGGGACGAAGACGGCTTTCAACAAGACGCACAGCGGCTGGCGATTGTTGTAGCTACTGGGCTATTATTATTCTGACGGATAATCGGATTAAACTAAATTGGGCACATTCAGATTTTTCATTTAATTATTTAAGCCTTTATTGTACAATATTAGAAATACATTAAAATGTGTAAATAAACAATTCATTTCCTTTTTCAAATAAAAAAAAACTAAATTTTATTGCCTGAAATGCAATAATATAGCTCTTGTTTTAGTGAAATTGACCCAGGCGAAGCTAAAACTATGCCTCTTGAGGAGTTTTAGGTAAATTATTTACAAACAAATGGGTTTTCTTCTTAACTACAAAAGTTTGGCTTAATTACTTATATTAATATGTTGTTTTTCTCAGCAAATTACATAATCTCAGATTAACAATTAATCAATTATTAAGTTAGTTGACGATTATTTCAACAAACAATTCATCACGAATAATGTGATTAATCGTTTCAGCCCCAATACTAAACATGGAAACATTTTGACTTTTAAAGGGCGAATAAAACATTTTCTATTGCGGGGGAAAAAAAAAAAAAGTTCTGATTGTCTTCAGGTCGGTTTTGGCTCCTGAATGTCCAATGTGTATAATAAGTCATATGGATAAGATGGAGGGAATGTTTCTTTATTGCAGGATTTTATTCCATAAAGACAGTGGCAGGTCCTTTCTGCCAGCGACCGTCAGGCCGCACAACAAGCACGGCTCCCCACAGATTGTGTAACAATGCAAAATCACAAGTACACCTCCCAACGTGGAATCCCATTTAAGGGACAAAATCTGATGAGACTGGAGGCTTCATGTTCTGTACAGACGGCCTTTTCTAAGAGAAATATTTTATTTTGGAGTTTTTCTGTGAGGTTTTTCTCATTGCCATTTCTCTTTATGCGTTTTTTTTTTTTTTTTTTTTTTGGGCTTTTTTTTTTTCCATTTTTTTTTTTTTGGTGTCCA